GAGAAAATAGCTAACCACTTAAGAGAGGTTTTGTTTATGTGGCTACAATTGAAGACTCCATCACAGATATTATGGTGTTTCAATGAAAAAAAAAAAAAAAAACAGAAAGGTCTGGTAGAGGTGTAAAGAAAAAGAAAAAATAAATATGGCAGAGGGGCAAAGGGAGGATAAGGAAACTTTCTTTTTATTCCAAAAAGGGGTGATTCATATAGGTTGGTATGTCCACATGTGATGTAGAAAGGCTAAGCTATTATTGCTGGTGAAACATTAGTAACTTAGCTTAATGAAATCCTGTATAAAAGGTATTATTGTTAAAGGAATATCTCTGACTTTATCTGTAATTGAAAATAAGGGAACCTATCATCCTAAAAAGCAATGATTTAAATCGGTTGGCAAGTCTACACGTGATATGAGAAGGTTAAGCTATTGTTGTCAGTGATGAAAATGGGTCTAAAAGATATTATAAATATTAGTTACTATCGAGTAGTTATACCTTTAGAGATGCTAAATGGATATTTTTGATGTTACTTGTAATTGTGGTAGTGAGGAAGTTATTTATCTTTAGAAAATTGAAAAGATCTTGAATTGTCCAGAAGTGTTTAGATCAAACTTATCACTGAAGAAGACAGAAGATATTGCAATCTTATTTAACTTGGAGATTTCCCTTTGACATTGGTCAAGAGAAACAGGATTTTGCAAGACATGATGAGACTGATTTCACTGATGAAGAAGAGGAAGATAGTGACTTCTATCAAATTTGGAATTACTTTTTTTTATTGGCTGGAGAAACAGGACTTGGTTCTGATCTAAATATGTTTTCAAGTTATTGTAAATGGGTTTTAGTATAATCATAGAATGTTAAAAGATATGTAGTAGGGGGCCGGCCCAGCAAATCCAGTGTGTGTGATGATTGATGTCTGTAGTAGTAGTTCAAAATCCTAATAAAATTTCTTTAAAAAAAAAGGAAGAGCCCAGACCCGTCGAAGGGCATCTCCTCTATGCGCCTCTTCGTCTCCTCTGGAAAGTTGCAGTTGCGTAGCCACGCATGCCTCCGGAGGGAGACGGCACTGACCAGGGCCCTGGAGTCTGTGTCCACGTGATGTCGGGCGGTGGAGAGTTATTGCACCGTGACCTGCATGGCCTCCTTCACAAAGACCTTCACTAGGTCACCTTGGTTGCCCAGGAGAGTGGAAAGCATGTTGTTGAGGCTTTGCATAATGAAGTACTGGAACCGAGCCAGTGTTGCCTCATAATTTGATATTCTCAAGCCGAGCCCAGAGGCCACATAGACTTGGCGAGCTAGGGTGTCAATTTTTCTCCCTTCTTTATTCTGGGCGTGGTGTGACCCCTCGCTTTCCTGCCCTGGGAGGACTCTACCACGACCGAATTTGGTTTAGGATGACGGAGGAGGAATGGAATGTCCTCCTCCCGAACCTGGTACATGGCTTCGTACCTCCTAGAAGTCGGTTGCAGATGGACAGGAAGGTCCCACGGTTGGGTCATAGCTTGCCGCAAGGTGGTAATGAGCGGCAAGACTATCGATGTTGATTGCTCCCCACGGACATCGTAAAATTTGTCGGTACTGGGGCCAGGTCACTGTATGGCATCTATTTCCAGTGACTGGACCAGACATGACATCAGCTCCGTGAAAGAAATGTGGGATTCGTCGGGAGACCCAGGGCCCTGGGAAGTCACCGTGATATCCAGAGAGGTCGATTCGGCATTGAAGTAATCAGAATCAACCCCATAGTATGGGGGGGGCAGTGGAGGAAGACCCTGCTGGTGAGAAGGATCAACTGCTCTCCCTGGTCGGAGCTTCGGGAGCACGTCTCAGGACCGAGGACGTAGGGTGATCTCATGGAGCTGGCAGAGAGGAGTGACCTCTGGGAGACGGGTAGCATCCAACAGAATGGTAGTCCCCCCATCCATGATAGACGACTGCGGATGGTACCATTCGTCGGACCTTCGCTTGGACGAGCGGATTCTTCGACTCCTAGGAGGAGACATCTCCACTTCCACATCGAATCCAGCCGGGGGCATAGGTGTGGGGACCTAGCCCTAGGCGGGGAATCTCGAATCTCCCCATCGGAGATCGAGTCCCTAGGTGGAGCTTGAAGAGGCTCCATCGTTGGCTCGCCCGTGTGCCAAGGGGACCCGGGAGGGGTAACCTGCATGACTGCCTGAACTGTTGGGCCCAGTGGTGTCGGTACCGCGACAGTGGTCGGGACCGAGGGCTCCAACGAACCCGAGTTTTGGGGCTTGGAATGCTCAGGGTTCTTAGGCTTTTTGGGCAGCTTCCCGGTCTTGTCCTTCTTAGCCTTCTTATATTCGGATGGCTTGTCAGAAAGACTATGCTTCCGCTTCTCACGCCTCTTCTTAGGCGAGGGGGGAGGTCAAGCCCCCACGGTGGTCACACCTTCATCCGCAGGGCATGAGGGCGGGACCATGGAAGAGGAAGCTGGCTGGGCAGACAAGGCTGGGCGAGCAGCCGCAGCCACGGTTGCAGCAGGGCGAGAAACCAGTGGGTCTGATTGGAGGAGTGCATGGTCCCACAGAAGCCTACGAAGACAGTTCTCACGATTTTTTCTGGCCTACTTGGAGAAGGCCAGGCAGTGAGCACATTTGTCCATCCTATGTCCTTCTCCCAGGCAGAGAAGGCATAGGTCATGCGGGTCTGCTGGAGACATTTTCGACCTGCATTCCGCGCACTTGCAGAAAGCCGCTCGTTGCGCCATTGTTGGAAAAAGGAAAAAAGAAGATAGTGCAGAGGGTAATAATATATTTTTGGGGTTTTTTTTAGAAAGAAGTAAGTAAACGAGAAGAACAAGAAGAGAGACAACAGGAGTTATCAAAGAATGGGGATGTAAGCTTGGAATTAAGAGAACAATTGTAAATTGGAGAAGACGAGAAAACGATCAGAGCAAGAGCGAAAGCAGCATGAGGCACAATGAACGGTGGTCACAAAGACTGGAAAATGGCGGACACTCCGCTCCATATATACTGCTAGTGGGGAGGGGAGTGGAGTTTTCCCACCAAACCGTTAGCTATCAATCTTCCGGCCACAGGCACTGCGCAGGCGCAGTACCCATATGCGTGATGCACAAAGGCCACGACGAAGAATAGGCTAGACGTGCACATATGTCATGAGCAGAGCTGGCTAGAGCTGGGGGTCAGACTAGATGGCCTGGGAGGCCCCTTCTGACTCGCTGTTTGTTTGTGTTTTAACTAAGGTCGTTAAACTGACTGATGGGTGACCTTTCTTGTTTTAATTGCTGATAAATTATAGCCCGTATATCCATTCAGTTTCATCTGGTCTAACACCCCAATTTCCTGCATTAAAAGAATTCCTGAAGAAAATTTAAATGTTCATTATCTTTAAATTTCCCCTCCAGCTGGTTATATACGTGGATAACATTTTCAATGCTAGGGTCATGTCAGGCTCATGAGTTCACATGGGATTTATGAGTCAATTCCTCTTTAGGATTTCTTTGGCTTAGGGTGCAACTGGGAATTGGCACATTTGTGTCCAGATTATTCTGTACACCTCCATTATAATCGTCATCAGACTGTTGGTATATGATCACTGATGTTGTTATCTGCTTTGGATCAGGGATAAGAGCACCCGGAAAGCCGAAGTAAAACAATCCTCAGGCTGAAAGGCAATGGATGTGTGGCAGATATCAGCTTTTGATGGAACCTCTTTTCTTGGGCCATTAGTTCTCTCTCATTTTTTAATTCGGCCGAGCTTTGTCCAGATGGGCAATTTTACTAATTTGTTCTTTCTGAGGAAGTTCAGTAAAAGCAGAAATTGACCCTTCCACTATTTCATCCTCCTCCAAATCCAGAATTGCAGAAGTATTGTGTTGTAAGCTGCCCCGAGGCTTCGGCAAGGGGCGGCATAGAAATGTAATAATAATAATAATAATAATAATAATAATAATAATAATAATAATAGTGATGTATCTGTCTCATCCTTATGTTGATTTCTCAATATATCATCTTTATGCATGTGGGGATCCTGTTGTGAACCATTTACCAACAGTTGGTTGTTGTCCGCATGGAGGGTGTGGCTCGAGTTCAGCTTTTAGGCAGTCTGCCTGATGCCTGTTTAGTAAATGCCTGGCAATGATAGCAGGCATCAACCACATGAGTTTCTCCTGGGCAAAAAAGGCATAGGGAGTGGCCATAGGTAGGTGGCAGCTTGCTGCCACAAGCTGTGAAGCTGCAGAATGGGGCTTTCAGCACCATTTTGTCAAACTGACGAAGGCAGGAGAAACCTGAAAGAGTAGGAAAGGGAGAAAAACAGCCAAAATAATAGTTGTATATATAACTATATAAAAATAGTTATATGTGAAGCAAGAGGATGGAGGCGGAAAAAAGCTGGAGATAAAGTGCGTGAGGAGGATTGAAGAGCCAAAAACGTTCATGAGGTAAGTAGAGTGTCTAGGGGCCAGGCTCCCACTGAATACTACTTATTCAGCTTTGGAATCTTCCTGATGCACAGAGACCACAAAGAATAACACAGGCTACTTCAACTTTCCGGGATGTTTACTAACAGCTGTAAGGTCAGCTCCCATACTTGAAGCTCTAAATTCAGCCTGATCTGCCATGTCATGCAAAGGAATGCAGAAAACAGAGAACACGGATGTGGGGAGGAAACAGAACATGGTAACCATTTCCCAGAAGGCTTCGGCTACTGGAATTCTCCCTTATCAAGCAAAGCGATTTCTCGATTCTCCTTAAGCCCAGAAAGTATGTAAGCCACACTTGGCTGCCAGTTGCTTGTTGAGTTCCATAGCCCTTGACAAGTGTGTTCACAGAACACAGATTATCAGTGTGTTAACACAGTGCAAACATCCAGGAAGAACAACATTGCAGTGACAGGAAAGGAAGTCGCCCCCTCCCCCCACTCCACTGTCAAATCATCTTTCCACATAAACAATTATATTAAAGGCAGTTTCCTAACACTAGTCAAAAAAAGTAAAGCAAGAGAGGAGCCATTTCAGTATATTTAAATATTTATTAATAAACTTAAATCATAATATGGGGAAATATCTTCAGCACAGAATAGCGCAGGATACATCAAATTTTTAAAAGTTCCAGCTCAGTGTAGCTGCAAGGACATTTCTCATCCACCATGTGCTTGTATATAACCTACAGGCTTCAGGGGAGTTCAACAAGAGGCCTAAATGCTTCAGTCTGATGGTCTGCCCCTTCCATACCTACTTTTAAGGGACTTGCAACATTTAGTGTCGACCAACATTCAAGGGAGAAACCTGGATCCCTCGAGTTTCAAGAGGAAGTAGTCAGAAGGGAAATATCAAGGTTCCAAGTTAAAAGGGCTTCCCCTGGAGTCCTTTTGCCTAAGCCAGCAAGGACAAAACATCAACTTGTGCAAGTATAAAAGCACAGGAAGGGCCCTGCCAATCACCAAGATGCAGGTCATTCTGCAAGGAATTTGCCACACTGATGCAAACAGCAAAGCAAAAGTTCACTCTTCCTCTACACTGCTTTCTAAACAATCCTGCACAAGTTTTCTGCCTATTGACAAAATTACACCTTGAAAATTGTGGAGGTTTTAACATGACTATCCTGAAAACTAGCTGAGTCAGTCACCCCAGGGAACAGCTCTGATTCCCCTATGGCAGAATTTAATAAACAGGGGGCTCTACCGTTTGAAAGCTGAACAGCCTCATGAAAAGCACTACAGACCAAAGTACTGGGCTACTGCACACAAACAAAAGCCAAGAGGTAGTTGCTGTTTCCCTCTCAAAATCTACTTTTTGGTTCCAGGTAGCACCATTACTAATACTTGGTAGGCAAGGAGGGTTCAAGCTCAGAGAATTCAGAATACAGGCAAACAGAAATGGCCAGAAGGAGAAAAGAACCTGATGTGTGAAGTTCAGAAAGGGACCATTTTAACAGGGTCCAGGCAATAAGCAGGGGTTTCTACAGACCTCCTGCTACTCTAGAGATCCTTCCTGTTTGATAAAAAGCCCAGGAAAGCCTTAAAGCTGCTACTCAACAACCAAGGGAGGAAAATGATACTTCATTAGTTTGACAAAGGGAGGCACCATGGTTGTCCCTCTAGGTCAACCAGACCCCCCCTGCTTTCAAGAATGCCTCCATGTTAAGTGTTACACCAGCAAAACCCTATTCAGAGCTCATTTTAAGGTCCCCAAATCATTACAGTTAGTGTTATTAACCGAAAAGAAAAACCCATAGAGACTTCCTTTCTTCAATTTGTCCAAGGCGTTTCCCATGGGAATTTAGGCTATGAACAATCAGGTTTTTGTACAGCTACATGACCTGGTTGTGCTTCTGAGCTTGGACAAGCCATTGCAAGTCTGCTAAAGTGATGCAAACATGAGGTTAAGAACTCACAGCAGCAAGTAATTTCAAATCTACCATACTGAACTGGCTGCCATACTGAACTAGTCAAAGCATGCTGTGTGCACACCGAAGGGAATGATTAACACATGCTGTGCTGTAACTAGGAAGGGATGCTGCCAAAAATTAAATACAGGGGAAATAAGTCCCCACCATGTTAGCTACTGGCATAACTATAGCAAAACTCAATGTAATTAATTCTTTTGTGGCATCAGCCCCACACCTTCAGGCATGAGCAGCAGTGAAGTACAACCTGCAAATCAAAGTTGAAGAGGAGATTCAAACAGCCTGATGCAGCTGTGCATAGCACATTATCTTTAAAAAGCACACTTCAAAAAGTATACTCCAGATTTGAACACATGGTCAAGCACACCTGGTTTCTCTGCCCATGTTTTTTTTTCAGTGGTACAGAATGAAAAATGCATCAAAACAGGAGAGATGGGATGAAGAATACTAAATTAGCAACCGTAAGAATATTAAACTTATAAATAAATAAGTCACATATATTTATGAACATATGTACAAATAGACAAGGCAACTTTTGTGCAAAGGAAATATATCTCTCTCATTGTTGTACATATACATTATTTACATACACTGCAATCAGAAGATACGGCTGGAATCTTTCACAGCTTCAGGCCAAAATATTTGAGTGTTTTTTCCCCTCAGTGGAAGAGAATTAGATGTGCCAGGCCAAGAACACAAATGTCCGTTTGTTAATCTAGTTCTTGGAAACATTTGCTTGGTGTCACAGAAGAGAACAACAGAATAAACAGGAATTTTTACTCCTACATTACTTGATATGGGCAGGGTCAGGGTTAGGGTCATAGCAGAATAGTTTCAATTTGCACCTTGATTCTTCACCCATGTAAAGATCCATCAACTAAAAGCATATTAAAAGCACCAAGTAGGCATCCATTTGCCACTATAGAAAAATCATTGGCAAAGAGCACACCATGAGCAAGACTCAGCACACTTGAAAACATGGGGCAACTCAGTGCTCTTCTTCTAAGAAAGCTAAAACATGTCACATGTACAATAAGATTTTTTTTCCTGTAGCTAAGGTGCAAATTTGGGGCTTATCTTAATGGGAGCAGGGTTCAAGGCAGAAATGTTCATTCGACATCCCTGCCACATAAAATGCCTTCCACTGGAAGAGGAATGGTTAAGAATATAAAACGCAAGACAAAAGCTGAAGACAGAAAAAATTGTAAAAATATACCTAACAAAAAAGAGATGTGGTGTAAGGCAACTGTAAACCTGTGATCCAGACAGAACCCGCAGGAGGATGGCTTCAATTTCCTGGTTTCTTGGCCAGCACAATCGATTGCCCTTTGTCCACCAGCACTAAAGGCACAAAGTGGGCCAACACCAAGCAAATGCAACACGGCTCCATCACCCGCAACCCGTTCCCAGCCGGTTTGTCTCATTGGTTTGGTTTTTTCCTCTTACCCTCCTGGCACCACATGTGATACCCGAGAGATAAAGAAAGGACTCAAGTGCAAATACATGTTATACAGATTACAGGCAACAGAGATCATGAACAAGACCCAAAAGCAAATCAAACAAAAGTGCAAGGTGGGTTGATAGGAAAAGGCAGAAGAGGAACAGGCAGCCCTTGTCCAACAGAAAGGCTCCTAACAGAATCCAAGCTGGAGACAGTACTTTGAGCTTTCTTCTTCAGGCCAAGAGAGCCAAGTCCCTGCTGCTTGTTTATTGCCCGTATGCTAAAGTCCACTTCAAAAGCTTCTCTTGTCTGGTTTGGAGGAAAGGGACTAGAGGCCCATGAACAAAGCAGCCTTGGCTGCTGGTCTCAGTCAAGGCTCAGGTTCCTCTTCCTTCCCACTAGATCCATGCCTGCCTGCTGGTCCTTTAAGAAAAGCAGGGCACCAAGGCCAGGTCATTACAGGACCCAGATATCCAAACCCGAGCCCAGAAACAGGCCTTCTTCTCTTTGTCAAACTCTTATTCTCCTTCACATGTAAGAGCATAGTGATTCTTCCCAGAGTAAGGATGGACATAAAACACAAAGATGCACCAGTGTCTTGACAGCACTGGGTACAAAAATAAATATGCCAAAACAAAAACATAAGTAACCCCAACAAGACTGTCAAGCTTCATTTGATAAGTCCTTCGAAGAGGACACAAAAAGGAGGGAGAGAAAGATCCATCACATCACTCAGGAAAGTGGTAGGTGTCGGACAGTTGAGAGAGAACTGAAGCCAGGGCACAGGTGTTCTCCCAGAAAGTAAGCAGCAAGGTCTGGAGAGTGGCATGTCAGGTGTTAAAGTGGGTTCATGCTGCATCATCCTCCAGGCTGACCATTTGTCTCTGTATGAAATAAAGATAGGAAAGTAAGAAGCTTCTCAAAGGGCTACTAAGGTGGGACAGCTGCAGAAGCCTCCGTGACAGATCCTTTGGGACTCTCATGAACCTGAGTACATGCAGCATCCCTACTGGAAGGTGAGAATGTCAGAGGGATGCCTTCTTGAGCCATGGAAAGTATTCCCCCTCCCCTATTCTGGCAACTCTTTGTGGTAGAGCTCAAAGTGGGGGAGGGAGTGACTGTAGTATCACCAACAGTCACACATAACTTGCAGGCTCTCTGCCTAATCTTTAGTGTGATAACACCAATCAGTTGTGCCTGCAGTGACTTTAAAGACAAACAACTCTAAGAACAAGCCATCATGGAGTCCAATAAATCTGATGGCACTATATCACTGAAGGTAGACAAAGCCAACTCAGGAATAGCAAACCTCAGTCTGAATTAACTTCATTTATCTTCAGTGCTGTTATGCAGCCAAATCAATTTCCCTTCATGACACATGTTTCGAGGAAGACAAAAGGTGCTGTAGCAGCAACTCATTCAGACTGCTCCCATATATTTTTTGATTAGTGGAAACTGTTATCTTAAAATGCAATACAGTGGTACCTTGGCTCACGAACTTAATCCTAGGACTCTGGTCGTGACCCAAACTGGTTGTGAGCAAAGTTAAATTTCCCCATAAGGTTCAATGTAAATAAGGTTAATCTGTTCTGTAACTATTTTTTTAAATCAGAAAAATGTGAAGCAATGTGACAAAGAACAACAAAGATCGCGGCCATCTCCCCCCGCCCATTGAGCAGGAGTGCGGCCATCTCCCCCGCAGCACGACTGCAATCGCACCCATCATCCCTGCACGGGCCCATCATCCCGATGCATTGCCAGGGGAAAGACGGGCACAAATGCAGGCATGTTTGGCGGGGGGGGGGGGGGAGACGGGCATGATTATGCCGGTGGGAGGGAGATGGCCGAGATCGCAGTTACACTCATGCAGGAAAGTCGGGCGTGATCTCAGCCATCCTCCCCTCCCTGCCCTCAGCACAATTGCAGCCATCTCCCCACTTGGGGGGAGGAGGGTGGAGAGATGGCTGCGATCATGGTCACCACCCAAGGTGGAGTTCATGACCTGAGTAAATATTTTTATGAAGCTTGTGTTCACGACCCGATTTGGTCGTGAACTGAGGCATTCGTGAGCCAAGGTACCACTGTACTTGAAAAGTCATTACATTCTGAAACTATGCAAGTGCTGAACATGTACATATATATGTACATATACAAGGACTTTACTGAAAATATGTTTTGCTTGCTGACAAGGAAGAGTTACAATAATCACCCATGGGGAGGGTGAGAACCTATGGAAGGGGCATGCATTGGATCCCTCAGTAACAGAAGGAACCAAGTTTCTTGGGGAATTTTGAAACACCCACCACCAGCCCTCCTGCCTGCAAGACACCAGCATACCGATGGGTATGTGTAGCCTTCCTGATTCCGACAGATGTGAATCTCATCCTCCGTAGTTTTCTGATAGACAGGATTGTCAAAATTGATGCTGTTGGTGTTCTTGAGTCGCCAGTTCTTCCAAATGAGGAAAACCCCGAAAGAGACCAAACTAATCAGTACTGAAAAAGAAATGATACATTATTTTAACTAACCAACTTCAACAACTAAGGAGAACTTAGAATACACTGTACAAAAAGAGAAGGCTAAAAACTGCTATTATTAAGGGAGTAAGGCTGAATGAAGTCACAGCAGCCAAGTGCCAGATTTGCTACACCAACAGTGGCATTCAGCTCGGGGACAGACAGCTAATAGCGACAGCTATTTCTGTTAGGTGACAACCTCCCCCTCTCCCCCCCTCCCTTCCTTTCATGTTGCCTTCAAAAACAGAGAAACCTACCCAGTGGTAGGACAATAGAGAGAGCTTGTGGCCCACTTCGCTTTGCTCCGTCTGTTTCTGCAGCAATACCATTTCGAGCTGGGCAGAGGAGAGAAATAGAACATTCCAAATAAAACTTTTGAAATCTGGAATATGGTGAGTGACATGCAATGTGCCAGACTTTGTACAGTCACAGTGAAGTAGCCATACTTTGAAAGTGCTCTAAAGTAAAGCTCATTGGTCTCCACATTAGTTTCTTCATTGTAAGCTGATCCCTTAACTAGACCTTCCCAGGACAAATTTAATTCCAGTCCCTTTATTACAGGAGTCCAAATCACAACCAACTGCAAGATGCGTGTATCTCTCTCTGTCACATTCATGGAAAATAGAATGGTTAACATTACAAAGGCAACATCCCATGTTTGAGACAAGCAGTAATCTTAATGGTGCAGAAAGTCTGACATTGATCTTTATCATCATCAGTCACTATTCACATTAGTCATAGGCACTATCACAGAGAGGAAGGTGAGGTTCTTTTGATAACACTGTAACTCCCAAGTGCCTTTATTTGTAAATAGCAATACAATACTTGTATTCAATACTTGTATTCAGTACTTGTTTCAAACATGGCAAATGGAATGCTAAAGAATGCAAAAGGAATGTGATTTTTCCATTGCACTATTCTGCTATGCCTCCATGACACCTAAAGTTATGAAGCAGAAAAGCAGGAAAAGAAACTCGTCATTTACACAACACATTAACAGCCCCATGTAGCAAAGCTCTGCATACTGTCCACCAAACAAGGCTCCCTAAATAGTGCTTGTTGCCCCTCACCTTGCTGGGACAGAGTGACCATGTCAGGTGTGGTATATTCAGAGATGCCAGGGGCAGATCTGTATGGCACAGTTGTAGCAGCAGGAAGATGTTTGGTTGTCTGCCTTGCAGCATTGGTGGCAGTGAACTGCCGCGGTGGTGGGGTAGTCCTTGCAGTGGATTGCATGGTTGTGGCAGTGACTGAAGCCAGGCCATCAGGGACAGCTCTACCTGCATGATGGAGAGAACAAATAATCCGTGTATAATTCAAGGGAGCTTGCACTGATTTTGCGGGGGTGGGGGCACAGCAGGGGAGGATGGTGATTCCTGTGTCTGTGGGGCTCCACGTCTATTTCATTTTGAGTTTCTCACAGTGTTGAACTCTAAACCCAAATTAGGGCTGTCTGTCCTCCCTCCCACCTCCCTCCGCCCCTCTCTCACACACACACGGCCCCAACTGCTCTGTTCAATAATAGCAGCAGGGGGATTCCAAGATGGCGTCGGAACGAGACGGATGTGATTAACAGAGTTTGTCACACTGGTATTACTCGGCAGCGAGTCGTGAGAGACTCATCTAAGTCCTGTTGGAGTGAAGACAGATTGCCTGAGCACGCTTTTGGCTTGATGTGAGATTTTATTATTTATTTATTATTTATTTATTTAGAAAATGTCTATGCCGCCCCATTCGCTGAAGCCTCGGGGTGGCTTACAAATAAATCAATTAAAATACTATAAATTAACAATATAAAACAAGTTAACAATATAAAATTAGTTGCCCTAGCCAAAGAATAAAATAAATAAATACTATTAACAGTTAAAATGACGCTTGAATAAAAAGGTCTTTGCCTGGCGCCAAAAAACAAATAACGATGGCGCCAGGCGGACCTCTCTGGGGAGCGCATTCCATAGATGGCAATCTCATATCTGCTGAGAGCAATTCATGTACTTCTCAACCGAGTAACACAGGGGGTGGTTTCAGCCCCTTCAAGTTCTCAACATCTTAGAAGATTAGTTTAGGATTTTTATTAGCTAGATAAGCATTGGAACCGCTGAGTAAATATTTTTTACTTCTTTTGCAATATTACCTGTGGAAAAGCTGCATTTGTTTATAATTTGGCATTAAGAAAAGAAAAACCCTCCGGATGTTTAGGCGGCGACTGAGATGAGAGAGTGCTGAGGCTTTTGTCCAAGTTGAAGCCGAAGAAAAAGACTTTTTCCTCTAACCTAAGCATATACAATTAGTTTAAATTTTTAAGGTGCAATTACATGATAGGAGTTCAAACCTTTGACTGATCATTTTGGATATCTGTTTGGACTTCTGCCAAGATCAACTGGACACTCGCCAGGATATTTTTCACATTGTCGGATGCTTTCTTCTTTAATGTGACGACTGTTTGGGTGAGCATTCCTATTTTCCTTTTGCAATACTACTTGTGGAAAAACTCTATCTGTTGTTAATTGGCATTAAAAAAAGAGAGAAAAGGGAGAAAGGAGGAAGGATATAAGAATCTCCATTTCCTCTCCTGCATTTCTGGGACCTCTGCCAAAGTATTTGGCAACTTGCCAACCTTCTGACCTAGTGATCTAGAGAAAAGTGGAACTGATCTTGGCTGCCACTTTGTGGCTATTGGAATTATTGCAACGATGGTAGAGCTGAAGAGATTTTTTTTGGAAATACAAGAATCTTTAACAATTTTACAAATATCCCAAGAGGTGATGTTGAGACAACAGGAAATTTTCTCAATTGTACAAAAAAAGCGCTTTGATAAGCTTGATGCTTCTTTTAAGGAGATGGTGATTGACGTAGAATCCAAAACTGAACAGAATATACAAGAAATGCAACAAGTATATGAAAAATTTGAAAAATTTGAAACTGTGGATAAAAAGAAACAAATTTGGCCACTAAAGGAAGGAATTTTTTTTGAAGGATGGATGGATCCTGAATTAACTAAAATTGATTCTGAGAAAGAAGAAACAGTGAAGGTTGATTTGCAGCAAAAAACACAGCCATTGGGAATAAATATTGACCTACAACAAATGCTACAATCACTGAAGATAAAGAGAGAAATAGTGAAGATTGAAATACAGACTTTGCAGTGGGTTAATTTTCAACAAATAACACCAAGGGGAGAAAGATGGGCTGGAGATGTAAAGTTTAAAAATACTGATTTTCAACAAACCCTATTAAAACAAAAGCGGTTTGGAAGAGGTGTAAAAAAGAAATCTTAAAAAGGAATGGTATAAATGGGTTGGCATGTTTATTGTGGTATGGAAAGGCTAAGATATATGATTTTAACTGTGGAAGCTTTTCTACATTTAAATGTGTTGGATTATGAAGAGATTATAAGATAAGATTTAAACTGAACTAAGAAGGAGAAGAATAGGAGTAGAGTCCCCCCCCCCCACCTTTTTCTCTCTCTCTCCTTTGTGGGTGATATAAGGGAAAATGAGATTCTTTTCTTTTTTTTTTTCTTTTTTATCTTAAAAATGAATGATCAAAAGCTAAGTTGCATGACTCTTTTGTCTTTGAATTGATATACTAGAAAATGACTATTATGGGAGTAGGAGGAGCTGTACTAAATAGATTTCTTTTTACAAGCGAGATATATTAAAGATTGTAAGGAGGTGGACTCTTATAAGGAGTTAATTGTATGTGATTAAGTGTAAGCTAGATGAAACTTTAATAAATTAGCTTAAAGAAAATTTGTTTAAAAGATATCCTAGATAATTGTTGTCGTTAAATAGATTAGATAAGATGTCCTTAAAGATGCTAAATGGATGTTAGACATGTGAACATAAATTGGGTTAAAAGTCTTTAGTTCTTTTTTAAGCTTGAAACTTTTCTTCTCTTTCACTTTCCTTTTTAGTGGATATTAGACTGGAATACTAGTAAGCAAAAAATGTATTTGATTGTATTTGTAACTATCATAATGAGGAGTTTATCTGTTTAATATTAGAAAAATGAAAAGATCTGGAATTGTGTAGAGTTGGTTAGATTGAAGCTACTATCGAAGAAGAAAGAAGATACTGACTTATCAAATTTGGAGAGTCTTTCTTTTAATATCGGTCAAGGAAAATGGGACTCTGTAAGAAATGGATGGACTGATCTTACCGCAGAAGGAGAAAGAAGATAGTGACTTCTATCAAATTCGGAACTTTTTTTTTTTTTTTATTGGCTGGAGAAACAGGACTTGGTTTAGATCTAAAAATGTTTTTTAAGATTCTATAAATGGATCTGAATATGATTACAGAATGTTAAAAGATATGTAGTAAGGGGCTGACTCAGTAGTTCCGATGTTTGTGATGATTGATGTTTTTAGTACTGTTTTAAAATTTAATAAAAAAGTACTGCAAAAAAAATAGTAATATCAGCAGTGCCTATTTTGTCTCTACCTTTGGTGCAACTTCTCATGTCTGTGGCCAGGTGCATACCATCAGGACAGACACAGGTGTACTTGGCAGAGTGAAGAGTGATTTGTGGAGCAGGAAGACAGAGGTACTGGCAACCTCCATTAGGGATGTTGTTCTTCTCACACCAATTCACACCTGTAACAAAAACCAAACCAAACCAGAGAGACCAAGTTTAAAAAAAGAGATTTTGGCATTTCATAGGCAACAAAGTGTAGAAGGTTAGATTGTATATTATTTATAAAACTCCTAATTGTGCAAGCAATACACAGATTTTGGAATATGACACAGGCCCTCAGGCTCACAACTGAAAATGCACTTTGCAGGAGAAAAGGTGTAGGGGAAGGGAGAAAAAATGTGCTACCGTACACGGAGGTAAGCCAGGAACAGACATACCTTTGGGTTGCCGCACAGAGTGAAACAGTGTCAGATCATCAGGTGAGAACAGGTTCTCTGCCACAGTGACAATATCTGAGCCGGTCAAGCGGTTGGCACTGTAAATGGCTTGATTTATGACATCTGTCCAGAACACTTTATCCTGGGTGAGAAATTCAAAATTTAACAGTGAAACTGGAACCCTGCTGTTTTCATTCCCCTCTTCAAACCAGATTCATTCATTGTACATTCAGAAAGCAAATGCTCAACCATTCAGAAATAAGCCAGTGGGCACCACTGGAAAAAGTAGAGGCAAGGAATGGAGGAGACACACATTTGCTCATATAATGCACAATGTGTAATCTCCTTCAAAGGGATGGATGCATACATTAAATAAGGTTGCAAAGGTAATTTATCAGTGCTACAGCCAACTAGAAACATAGAAAAAGAGCGCGTCAGAAGGGGCCTCCCAGGCCATCTAGTCTGACCTCCGGCACCAGCTGGCTCAGCTCACGACACGCCCACCATGTCGTCACCAAACTACCTACTTTGTGTAGCAGAAAGGATGTTGCCCAGCATCACCAAGGCTGGTGACAATCCAGATGTCCCAGTCTAAACTCCCACCAGCCATGGCCATTCTGCCTGGAGGAGGGTGGGAGTAGACCAACATATCTAGTGGGAGAGGCTGGCACAGATTTTGGCACAGATTAACAGAGTTTTGACAGTTTAGGGACATCCTGACTTACAGGCTTTGATCCCTTCCACTTGCCCCTACACTGCTGGAGTTGCTACCACAAGCACTCATTTCTATCATGTTTAAAAACTTCTTCAATCTTCCGCTGGGAATGGTGGCAGCTGTCCCAAGGACTCCCTGGCAAAAGGGTGGGTCCCATGCAAGTGCTTTTCAGTCCATCATTATGGGAAACAGAGCCGCTAATCCTGCCCTCCCAAAGAAAGCAGAAGCACAGACAGAACAGCCATTCTGAAGTGATCATCATAGGTATTATTTTGGCAGGAAAGGAGGGTTGCTTGGGGAAAGATAGGGTGCACTCATATGCATGCACTACTTCCATCCCAGTGCAGCAGCCTGCCTCCAGGAAATTGGTCAGGAACACCTCTTGAATGGTTGGCATTCAGCCACCTATGAATCTGTCTTACCTCAAAGACAGCGATGGCAAAAGGATGAGCCAGCTTCTCCTCATTCACAAGGATGGTCTTTCTGTTTACCCCATCCACATCAATGCTGGAAACAGAGTGATACTTGGAGTCTACCCAGTAGAGGCGCTGCTTGATTATGTCTAAGAGAGAAAGTAGATGGCAAAGTGTTACACAGAAGCAGAGAAACTTACCTTCCCACTCTTAAACAAGGGAAGAGGCAGAATGAGAGGAGAACTTGGTCTCCTTGCTGCCACAAGCCCTCCTCAGCTCTGCAAGGCATACCAAGTGTTATCCCATTGGGCCATTGAATGCCTTCTTTCACCAAGGGAAAGTTGTCCACTCCATTTAGACCACTTTTAGCAATTTTAGCAGACATCCCCCAGTCAGTCCAGTACATGAACCTAATGGGGAGGCAGGAAAAAGACAGACACTCAGAAGAGATCAGTTTAAACCAATTATCACTGCAAACCTACACATTGTCCTCAATGGTTCAACCATTACCCCATTTTCCCCCAGCCAACCTGGAATACTCAGCACTTGCAAGGGGAATGGGAAGCTAAGAGCAGCCTTCCCACAATCCAGTGCACTTCTGATGTTTCAGATTTCAGCTGCCTCAGCTTCCAGCATTCCTGATGCAGGCTGAAGTTCAAATCTAAAGCTCACCAGGTTGGAGAAGACTGTCCTAGAACATATTCCCACAGATAGACTATCTGACTTCCCTGCAGGCTCAGCCTTTCTCACCAGCACATGGGAAGGAAAGGATACACACCCATGAACTGGATCCACCACGATGGCACGCGGCTTGGCACCAGTTTCCTTGATGAGGGTCTTCCTTTTCGAGCCTTCACTGCTGGCCACGGAGATAGTGCCCAGGCCAGAGTCAGTCCAGTAAATGTTGCCATGCACCCAGTCCACTGCCAGTCCATCTGGAACTTTGATGCCACTACTAATCACGGTGCTATGGTGGGAGTGGTTCTCAGCTTTATCTATCAGGGTGCTGTGCACAAAACAAAGAGAAGCCCCACTGAAATGAGTGCTTGCACAGTGGCTGCACTTTAAGGGTTGCTGGACAAACGGCATCCAGTTTTCATCCAACTCCAACTACAATCCAAAAAGCAGCTACTGCTGAGCCTGCATCATGTTAACCAGCACCACAAGGCAGCAGCCCAGATGACAGACCTGACACAGCAACTGTCAGCAAAACAACCCTCATTGCACAGTGAGTCGTTTTGGGGGCTCCCAACACACCACAACAGCACCCTTGAGTCCGATCGCTAACATTCCCCTTGTACAGGAGAAATTAAAGAGGGGAAGACTTGCCAAAGGCCACCCACTGGCATTTGAATGCCTGCTTGTGCATTGAAACCAATCTGCCTTTCCTAGCCAGACCAGAGAGTTAAGTGCTCACTAAAGCACATCCTCATTCAGATAGAGACACCTTGCCTTGTTCCCCAAGGTCTACACCCAATCCTTGCTCTGTCCATTGAACCACTGGGGGCATTACTGGCTCTTCCTTCCCCTATAGCTAAGTATGGTTCTAGAGTCGGCCCTCTTTCAAAGAGGGATATTCACCAGTTTACCCATCTAGCAACAGAGACTGCACATGAACCCCATCCCACAGCATGTTCTTACCTATATATTTTCTTCTGAGAGAGGTCAGACCAGTAGATTTTGTTGTTGTCAATTTCCATATCCAAGGCTACAGCATCTTTCAAGTGGGGAATCAGGCTGACATATTCACTGTGATCCAGAGTCATTTTTCTGACCTCATGGCGATTGGTAAAGAAGAGGTATGCAATGGTGCCTGGTAAAAGGGGTAAGAGAAGGGATATTGGGAACTTTTAGTATATTTCCTCAAATTTCAGTGGGGAAAAAATAGAATTCAGATCCATGCCTGCAGCAGAAAGCATTGTAATCCAAAGTGGACCCTTCTTTGGACCCCATCCAAACTAAAGTTTCATGTTCACAAGCCATATAGCCAACCCCAATACCAAAATTTAGTCCCATTCCTAATCAACACAATTAATTTTCATTTTTAAAATAAGCAGGTGCAAGGTAAGGAGGCTACAAACTGGGGTGGAAAGATCTAATTACATGAAACAGATTGGGCATTGCAGGATGTTCAGGCCACTTGAAATTATATCAGGATTCGGGTGACTCTAAAGCACATGCTTTCATGTAATACTCAAGACCCACACTCCTTCCACAAAATTAAGATATGGGTGGTAGGCATATCCCCAAATGGAGTAAAGTCTGTATGTGGTTAGATTCAAAGTTGTACAGAAAGGTCTTTGAGGCAGCCAGCTGCTATCAATAACTGATAGTTCACACTGAGTGAGGACAGGGGCTTTCTGTACTTAAAATTAAAAACTGGTCTTCCAAAAATGAGGAAGGTTAAACACTCAAAGGTTGGGAAGCTCCTTTGTTTTATATTAAATGCATGCTTAATATACACATGCATAGCCCTACCTAGCTTTCTGCCAGTAGACTCAGAGCATGTTAGTTTTTAAAACAGACTTAAATGTAATAGATGTTATAAAAATGGAAAGGGAAGAGGAAAATAAGCACATTCAGGCAAAACAGCTTTGCAGGTATCCCATTACAATCACAAAAAATATGTAAATGCTCCCTCACAGATGATGGCTGGTGGTGCCATGCAAAGTACAATAATGCTATTCAGACCAGCCCTTGATTAAAAGAAGCAAGCATTATGAAGCATACAAATATTGTGCTGTCCAATGTCCATGGGAATAAATGACCTTATGCAAACTTCCACTTATTAAAGTGAAGGCAGTACAACAATTCTAAGCACTGCTGCCTGAACCCAACTAAGGGTCAGTGCTCAGCAAATGTAAAATCACACCTGATTTCCCATTAATGTAGAAGTCACCAAGAGCCCTGGGCTGCTCCAAACAGTTGTAGTAGTATATTCAGGCACAAAACACATCCTGGGCTTACCTATCGCTTTGCAAGCCTTGGTGACAGGATTCATCTGATAGCCTTCTTTACATTCACATTTATAGCTTCCTTCCAAGTTCACGCATACTTGGCTACAGGCTTCAGGATTGAGGCATTCATTGATATCTACAAATCCAAGAAGGCATTTACTCAGCACCAGATGAACAAGATTCTTGCTGCAGTACATTAGCTTATCTTTATGGTCTAGCAGTTCAGAGTCTATAGCAAGCCCCCACCCTCCAGAAGCAGCAGCAATGAAAATGTCCCCATCTTGGTTTGCAACACACTTTGCTATTTAGGGTTTTGTACTGTGGCCACTGCAAAAAACAACTGATTATCCACATGGTCACATTTCTTTTTTTGATATTAATTTCTTTGCTCAAAAATGGCAAGGGTGCAAAACATTGCACATAACTCAGAAGCCACCTCAGAGAGATCAAGAGAATGAGACAAATGCATACGAAGAAGAAAAATCTCCACTCCAAGCAGCCTCTGCTGACTACTGCTCTCAGCACGAAAGGAGTTATAGTCAAATATATCTAGGGGACATCAGATTCAGAAATGCTACACTGGAGTATATCCAGTGCCTACTGCCCACCTTTTGACAAAGTTTTGCCAAAAAGAGGAGAAACCTAATTCAGCAACCACAATGTCAGTCAATGGGCCACTATTAGAAATGTTGTCAGATTTTCTGTCCCAGACCATGGCCCTAGCTGTTGAAGACATAGCACCATGTGAGAAGCTCTCGTCTCTCAATAATAATGCAATGTAACCTTAAGAAACAGAGGCTACAATTACAGATGAGTTATTAAACCAAGAATGATCTTGCAGAAATAGAGTAGTGTTAACATACCTTCACATTTTCTTTGGTTGATTAACTGGAAGCCCTCAGGACATAAACACTCATATCCAATTTTGAGGTCATTGCATATGTGAGAGCAACCACCCTTTTTGGCTAAACATTCATTGGTTCCTGAAAGGGGATGGCAAAAAACACATCATGATTCTACCCTTGGAGAAATCACTTCCAGGCACTCCTGATCTCTGGGGATAAACTAAGCTGTATGGATGTCTATTAAAAAACTGCCCTTTTTCATAAAGATTAGTTTGACACATTTATACAGAGTCCTCCCATTATTGAACAATTATGCATGGTTTAGATACAGCACAGGCTGCTAGCATACCCATTTACTAGGACTAAGCTATGAAAGAGGAAGTCTACCATTCTTGTCAGGTGGTGATAGGAAAGTCACCTCATTTAAAAACTTAGGGACAATATTGCCAACAGGGGCGATTTCTGAAATGGTGCATGCACAGAGCTTTGGACACTCAGAGGCATCATATAAAATACATTATTTAACTTGCAGGGCACTGTTTGTGCTTGGGTCCCTTTACTTGATGAGAAGGCTCCCCATCTGCAGTTTGGAATGTCTAATTTGAGAAGAAGAGTGGCAAACAAAACAGATCACACAATTAAATGCTTACGGCACTCCTTCAGGGGCTCATCTGACCAGTCCCTGCAGTCTTTCAGCCCATTGCAGACCTTGTCCATTGTGATACATTCTCCGGAGCTGCACTTAAATACGTTTGGCCCTTTGCAAGTTGTCACTGTTATAAACATAGAACACAACATTTTAGCCCAGCACCTCCTGTGGGACTGAGCTCCCATTTAGATATTCAAGGAAAACTATTAGAAAGATAGGAGATGGCAGAACAGAGTGAGGGGAGAGGGACACTTAATCCACTAGCAAGCAAGCACTGCGTGACCCCACCATCCTGCTGGGCTTTGACTACGACCCCCATGAGCTTTCAGCCTAACATGCAATTGCTGCATCTATCCCAAGACCACGAAGTCAGCATGTAGTGCTCACCATTGATGCAGCCAAGCTCATCACTCTTATCTTTGCAGTCATCCTTCTTGTTGCATTGCAGGCTCCCATGAATGCACATACCATCGTCACACTGAAATTCATCTGGGCGGCATGTTACATTGGCTAGAGAGAAAAAGCAAAGATTTCTAATGACAAAGAGCCAGCACAACTATGCTTATGAACATCTATCTCCCTAAAGGTCTGCCCCTGGTAGGATGTACCACTAAATTTGATTCAACCTAAGAACGGGTTATGTTGCTCATCATATAAACACACATCTTGAGCTCTTCTGCACAACAGCCAGCCCCCCGCTGGTGCTAGGGTTGTGTGAGGAATTCATGTAGTGGTATAAATTCATTGATAGCCTGGATTTGACTCCCCAGATTCTGGGACACTTTGCAGTAGCACAGAGTTCAAGTTCCCGGTGAGTGTGCCCAGCATTCACAGGGTTTTCACCAAGAATTGAGACCCATGCACTGCACAAGCCATGATCCTCTTCCACACCACTTGCAGTAGCTTTTTTGCTGCTGTACCTGACATTCATTCCATGAGCGTTTATGGCCTTTATCTTGGCTGGGCTTGCTTTGCAAGACCGGAAAAGCACAAGAGGGATTCTGCAAATACTCTAGGCACAGATTCAGCTAGGGCCCATCCCAACCCCACTTGGTACCGCCCGATGCTCATGAAAACAACCCACAAGCATCCATGAGCAGCGGCTGTGTTGCCTAGGGCTGATGGCAGCTGAAGACAAAGCCATCTGGAGAGTGTCAGATGGAGGAAGGCGAATGCAGAGCATGAAACCTAATGGTCCTTGCTACACTAGGCAGCTCATAGAAAGTGACAGGCACCATCACTGCCTTTAACAAATTCATAGGAAAATAGGGTATCACTACCTAAAAGCTACTATTATGCAGAACTACTATAGAAGAATTGATGGTAAATAGTCACACAGCTGGTTCAGTCTCACTTCAGCTGTAGTGGCCATATGCAAGCCATTACTCTCTCACCTTTGCCTCACCCATACACCCCTCAGCTCTTTAATATAGGCATTATTCAGAGCTATTATCTTGGTTAGCTTTGCATGCTAAGTATGCAACATCAGAAACTGAAGTCCCAGCATGCCTCAACCAGTTCTACATGCTGGGTCATGCTGAAAGTTGCAGCATGAAACCACCATCTGCTATGCCCACAAAGGGCTGCGTCCTAAAAGACTGAGCTGTGCATTAGGAAGTTTTCAGCACAAAACAAATTTGACCAGCAGATCAAGCTTCTTTTCAGCCTCCTTTATAGAAATAACATGAATCTTACATGAATATAAGGCTAATCCTTGGTAGGGTTACAGGATAACGTTCATGAAGTTTCTTGAACATTAAAAATATCTCCAAATCTTGCCTTGTGGGGTGTTTTATACCCAAAACAGCCCTACCCCGTTACAGTTTTTAAAATATACTGTTAATTTTTGCATTTTCAAAAGTATTACACAAGTAAATATATAAAACTCTTCATATACATTCCCATTTCCACCCCTGCAAAATACTCCATGCTTACATAGTTTTTTAAAAGAGTAAATAACAGTGAAGTTCATGCAATGTGTTTTAGATAATTCTGATTGTTAAGCATTTTTTCCGATTGTTAAGCAATTAAGAATTTTAATCCATTTTTATCTTAACAAGATGCTGCATAGAAGGCCATGAGTTGGTGGTGGTTTCATGGTTTACTGGCTCAGATATTTTGGTAGCAGGCTGTAAGCAATTTATTATTATCGTTATCCTCAGCAGCAGCAGCAGCTTTCGATGAGGCTCTGGATTTTGCAGCCTCTCTCTAGGCAGCTTGTTCCTGCTCCAACACTTTCTGAAAGGCTTTTTAAAAAATCACAAAGAACATCATCATCATCATCATCATCATCAACATTTCTTTACTCCTTTCCTTAGCACAAAAGTCTCTCAACGTAAAGATCTGTACAATTCGGTCCAAAGAGGAGGAACGTGTACCACAAATGAAACCTCCATCCATCATAACCTCCATGCAGCATCCTAGACAAATCAGGCACCCACCCCTCATGCTTTGCTGCACTTACCACAGTTCTCCTCATCAGATCTGTCCTTACAGTCAAAGCCTCCATCGCATTGCCAGGTCTGGTGGATGCACTCCCCGCTCCTGCAGTGAAACTCCAATGGGAGGCAAGGATTGGTTTTCTTGACCTGCCCACAGTGTTCAGGAAACTCATCTGATCCATCCTTGCAGTCCACATCACCATCACAAGCCCAGAGCTTAGGAATGCACTCTGAGTTGTTGCAGTGAAACATCTCAGGGTTGCAAGTAGGGACGGCACAACCGACTTCATCACTCCCATCCAAACAATCGCGGTCTTCATCACAGACAAAATCCAACGCAATGCAGTTCCCATTCTGACATTGAAATTCATTATCAGCACAAGGTTTAGGGGCTGCAGCAGGAAAGAACAAGAATGGCTATAATATCTAACACATATTTTAATATCCCCTTCCTGGATCACTGCCTTGTCGTGGCGAAGGGGCATGTGTAGCTCAATGAAGCTACGGGTTATGCTGTTCAGGGGCATCCAAGACGGACAGGTCACAGCAGAGAGCTCTAACAAAAGCTGATCCACTGAAGAAGGAAATGGCAACCCACTCCAGTATCCTTGCCATGAAAACCCCATGGACAGTACCAAAAGGCAAAGAGATATGATGCCGGAAATGAGCCCCTCAGGTCAGAGGATATCCAATGTGCTACTGGGGAAGAGCAGAGGGCTAGTACAAGTAGCACCAGAAAGAGTGAAGCGACAGGGTCAAATCAGAAAAGACACTCAGTTGTGGATGTATCTGGTGGTGAAAGGAAACTCTGATGCTGTAAAGATCTATACTCCATAGGAACCTGGAATGTAAGATGAATCAAGGCAAACTGGACGTGGTCAAATATGAGATGACAAGACTGAACAGCAACATCTTAGGAAACAGTAAACTAAAATGGACAGGAGTGGGTGCATTTAATTCAGATGACCATCAGATATACCACTGTGGGCAAGAATCCCTCAGAAGAAATGAAGTAGCCTTCATAGTCAAGAAAAGAGTAGGAAAAGCTGGACTGGGATACAATCTCCAAAATGACAGAATGATCTCAGTTCGAATCCAAGGCAAACCATTCAGCATCACAGTAGTCCAAGTCTATGCCCCAACCACTGATGCTGAAGAGGCTGAAGTTGACCAGTTCTATGAAGGCCTACAACACCTTCTAGAAAACACCCAAAAATGATGTCCTTATCATCATAGGGGATTGGAACGCTAATGTAGGAAGCCAAAAGATAACTGGAATAACAGGCAACTTTGGCCATGGAGTACAAAATTAAGTAGGGCAAAGGCTGGCAGAATTTTGCCAAGAGAACACGATGGTCATAGCAAGCACTCTTTTCCAACAACCCCAGAGACGATTCTACACATGGACCTCACCAGATGGTCAACACAGAAATCAGATTGACTATGTGCTCTGCAGCCAAAGATGGAGAAGCTCTATCCAGTCAGTGAAAACAAGACCAGGCGCTGATTTGTGACTCAGATCATGAGCTTCTTGTTGCAAAATTTAGGCTTAAATTGAAGAAAGTAGGGAAAAGCCCTGGGCCACTCAGGTATGACCTAAATCATGATCCTGATGAATATACAGTAGAGGTGACAAATAGATTTAAGGAATTAGATCTGATAGACAGAGTGCCTGAAGATCTATGGACGGAGGTTTGCAACATTGTACAAGAGGTAGCAACTAAAACCATCCCAAAGAAAAAGAAAGGCAAGAAAGAAAAACGGCTGGCTGAGGAAGCTTTACAAATAGTGGAGCAAAGAAGGGAAGTGAAAGGCAAGGGAGAAAGAGAAAGATACACCCAACTGAATGCAGAATTCCAGAGAACAGCTAGAAGAGATAAGAATGCCTTCTTAA